GGGCAGGGCCACCTCCCCCCAGCCCAGGTTGCTCCGAGCCCCGTCCAACCTGGCCTTGAACACCTCCAGGGATGGGGCAGCCACAGCTTCTCGGGGCGACCTGCCCCAGGGGATCACCGCCCTCATGGCCAAGAATTTCCTCCTCACATCTCATCTCCATCTCCCCTCTGTCAGTGTCAAACCGCTCCCCCCCGTCCCACGGCTCCCCTCCCTGACCCAGAGTCCCCCCCAGCTCTCCTGGAGCCCCTTTAGGCACTGGAAGGGGCTCTGAGCTCTCCCCTTTTTGGCCTTCTCTTCTCCAGGCTGAACCCCCCCACCTCTCCCAGTCTGTCCTCCCAGCAGAGGGGCTCCAGCCCTCCCAGCATCTCCGGGGCCTCCTCTGCTCCGCTCCAACAGGTCCATGTCTTTCCTATAAGAAATATTTTTTACTCTGAGAGAACTGACAGCAGTTTCTGCACACTACAGTGCCCTATTAATTTCCATACATGCAGGGAACAGAGGTAGCTTGGACATAGCTGGACTACAATAGAAATACAGCAGTTTGGAAGGGCACTGTGTAGCTGTGAAGAACTAGATAAATATTTTTTTTTTCCTGTAGAAACCTGTCCGTGCTCCATCCCAGGTAATGATAATCTGCCTTCCTGAAACTCCTGCTGTGCACGTGGTGATGTTTTTCGGTACCCGCTGTCTGGCTGCTGCTCCTGTTCACGGTGGCCTTGGCTGATTTCCAAATAAAGCTGATAGGGTTCTTCTCCCGCTCCGGTCTCGGGGCCTTTTTCCATATCAACATTTCCGTATCAAACAGCCGCCTCTGCTTCGCTACACGGGCACTGTGGCTTGCTTGAGTCACCCGTGGAACTGAGTTTTTCTGTGCATATTATAAATGAAATTCCAGTCAGTTCTTGTAAAGCTCGGTAATAGAGCTGTGACTTCATGCTCATGTCTTAGAGCATAACTGTGTGTAATCGTGTTGTAATCTTTATTGCAGTTCACTTCTGATGGATTGGAAGCTCTCTGAGCTAGGGATTATATCACCAGTTAAGGTGATTATCAGTAATTTGCTTTTCAGACTTTGAGAATTAAGTAAAGCTTAGAAAATCTTCCTTTTTTTTTTTTCTTTATTTTTCTTTCCCAGAGCTTAAAATAATTTTAAAAGTCAAAAATTTGACAAAGATGATGTGAGGAAAATCCATTCTCTAGAAATGATAAGGATTCTCTTTGGCAGTAACAGCTTTCTGTGATTTTTTTTTTTTCCCTTTGCAGCTGGAACTCATGTCGGGGAAAGGGTCCTCTTCCTCCCTCCACCCCACCCCGGGGGTCTGGGGGCTGCTCCAGATCCTTACACTCCCCTCCCCAGAGCACCACAGCAGAGATTTGCCCGCGCAGATCTCCCCTCCCTGCAGCAGGCAGGCGTTCATCTCCTTTCCACGTAGCCAGGCTGGGTCTGGCAGCTGCTGGGCTCTTTCTACTGCTGCTCCATTCCCAGTTTCATGAGGAAACTGGGATGCCAGCGTACAGGGAGAGCTAGCTGGACCTCCCCGGCCAGTGCCTTGATGAGTGGGGGGGCTCCCAGTTCTCCCGCGCCACGTTTATGGGACGGGGGAGGCTTCATCCCCACTGTCACTGTCCCATTTCCAGGGCTGTATGGGAGAGATGGCATCCTACCGGCTCGTAAAGTGCTGCGCCTCAGCGGGAAGGGGCTGTGGGAGCAACTACGGGATTTTCCCACCTTGCTGTGGCTCAGTCCCCACTTGGGTTTGGATACGGAGCTGGGGATGGAGTTGCTCTGCCTCCTCGGCATCTTCGCCTCCTTCGGCGCCTTGCTGTTCGAGCCCCTGCAGGACAGCCTGCTCTTCGCCCTGCTCAGGATGCTCTATCTCTCACTCTACCAGGTAGGAAATTGGTGGGGATTGGGAGAGGGGGTCTTGCGGTGCCCTGGTGGGGTCAGAGCTGGGTCCTAGGAGGGCGGGGGGGTGATGTTGTTGCGTTAGTGTTGTCCTACAAGCTCATAGCATGCTCAGCTTCCTTCCTCGTGGAGCAGGGGAAGGTGCTGGCAGCTCCCTGGCTCGTGTACAGGGATATAACCCCATCCTTGTGCCTTTCTGGGATGAAATCCCCCCCAGACTTGCCTGCAAAGCTGATTCTTGCACTGCTGCGCATGCAGCTCCTTCCCCTGCCCACCCGAAGCCTCGCTAAGCGCTCCCTGGGGCCCTTTCCCCACATCCCGTGAGAGCTCTGTGCCCGCCAGCTACAAATCCGCCCTCCTGAGCCGTATGCGCTTGCTGCTGGGGCTTCAGCTTTGTGTGGAGGAGCTCGGGTGAGTCAGTCTGCTGGCGCAGGCGGTGGGGGGAGGAAGGTTTCTCTTCCCTCTGAAACCAGGGGAATTAAAGAGTAAAAAACCGCCTGTGCTTGGAAATCCCTCTAAGGCTGGGTGGTTCTTGGCCCAGGGAGGAGCTCTCCTGCCCTGCCAGAAGACAGCCCAGTGCCAGTAGCCCTCACCGGTCCCTCCTGCCAGAGCTCGGGCTGTGCTCAGCACCAGTGGCTGCAGGGTGTGGGGCTGGGGGGCCGGCAAAGCGAGGGGCCAGCCATGGGAGCGGGGGTTCTCCTGTTCTGGGGGGCTG